TCTCTCTCTCTCTCTTTCTCTCAAGGACAAATTTGTATTACAAAACGATCTGTAATTGTAATGATTTTTTGTTCTGTTTTTTTCCTTAGTATTAATTGGTATACATACTTACTCATTCGTAAGAAAAAATCTATAATGAACAACAATTGCATAACAAATGCAATCAAAAAAATCGAACGCGTTTTCTTTGCTCAACTTCGTTTCTAACGAATTCTCTAATCTCAAATATTTAGTCTTGACAATATGTCGACATTAAGAGTATCTTGAACTATATTATGAAATAAATATAAATGTCAAAAATCTACTGTTTAATATCGATCTATTGATAAAATGTATAAGTATGTTTTATCTTTCTTTTTTCTTTTTTTTTTTTTCTTAAACATCATAGAAAAATGTAAAAATTGAGGCTGCTCGGCGTTAGAACAATACTAATAGATTTAATCGTCGTATATATATATATATACGATTATGTATAATGCGTACGTCAAAAAGCTATGAGCAAAAACAATTTTCAAAAAAAGCCAATAGGCAAAAAAAGGCCTGTTTATTCGTCGTCTCAGCCTTGATTTATTATAATAAAACAAAAAAAAAAACAAAAAAAAAAAAAAGATGAATAGAACAAAGTGCATAGAGCAAACATTAAGTCTCGTTTGACATTTTCGACATTTATAATAAATGTACCTAAATCCTACAATCGCTAGGTCCGTTTAATTTACTAATTATTATTACAAAAGAGAACATTTCTTGTGAAACAAAAGCGCCTGATTATATTATCTCTGTTGTTGAAAGTAGAGAAAAGATGTTGGAGGAGAAGGAGGGGTCGGTAGGAAGTTGGGAAGAAATGGGGAGAATAAGAAAAAGAGGGAGGGTGAGTTCGAGGGTGAGTTCGAGGGTGAGGGAAAGGGAGAGGGGAAGAGGTTGTTGTATATGTATATGTGTCGCGTGTGTTTTTTTTTTTTTGTTTAAGGATCGAGCGTCCGGCGATCGAGGGAGTGTCCTTGAAAAAGGTCATCGCAAATTTCGAGGAGAATTAGAAATATTATTAGACAGGTGTATCCGTTTTCTCATCCTTTTTCGTATCCTTATAATCGTTGGTACGACCATTGACGTACTCGGTGCTCGCATGGATCGGGTTTTCCTGGCCACCTTGCGGTATTTTTTCATCGATGATCCTTGGGTCTTCTTGATCTTCATCCTCGTCATCGGCAGGCGTTATGTGTGCCTCACTTCCAGCGCCGACACCACCGGCAGCTTCCTCGTCGCCCCGCCGCCTCGCTGCAACAAGCAACGCCACGATCGGTCAAGGCAAACCCCTATGCGCGTTGGTACACCCCTTTTTTTCTCTTAGTTTTCTTATAATATTGTTTATTGTATTTATTACGTGTCCTTGTTTAAGCATATATGCATGTATGCATGTATAAATGTATATATAATTATTTGTATGTGTGTATGTATATATGTATATATAATTATTTGCATGTGTGTATGTATGTATGTTTATATGTATATATGATTGTTTCTATATATGTACGTATATGTAAAATGTTAAAGAAATTCTACAAGATTTTTTTTTTTCCCTTCTTTTAAATTATTAGACATTTATATATGAAATGTGGTCAAATAAAATATGTAAGTACGTATGCGTGTTTTTTTTTTTTTTTTTTTTTTTTTAAAAAGTGCATATTTCTGTGCTGATTTTTTAATATCTCGCCCACATTTCTCTCTTTCTTTCTTTTTCTTTCTTTTTATGATTTATCATAGTTTTTTTTTCGTCCACTGTTTTTCTATATAGTACATCTTGTTTATATTTATTATATGCATAATATTTTAACAAATTATTAATTATTTTTATTTGACTGGTATACAAAAAACATGTGTATCAAGACAAGTGTAGTATATACTTTCTAATAATTACGAACTATAAAAAAGATTATACGATATATATTTATTAACAAATGTAACGAACGTCTATGTATTTATATATGTATATATATATATAGAAAGATATGTATAAAAAAATAAGGGAGAGAAAACGTACAAACATGCTTGAACAATCTATTAGGGAATAATAATAATAATAACACAATAAGAATAGTAGTAATTAACAAATATAAGGAGTAATTTATATTATTATTATTATTATTTTTCTTTTTTTTTTCGGAACGTTTTTGCGACACCACGAAAACGTTTGGTTAATCAACAAATTAAATTAATTGAGTTTCATCGCACTTGCCTTTGCCGATTCCATTGCCGTTGCTTGTCGCAAAACGACTTAGAGTCTTTTATTCGTCTCTAAGTTGTTAATAATTTTTTTTTCGCGAATAATAATTATTAATATTATATATGTAAAAAAAAGGGGTGGGTGGAGAGAGAGAAAGAGAAAGAGGGAAAGATAGAAAGAGACATACATACGTAACAAGTATCTAACTATGTTGACACATGCAGTAATGAGCAATAATGATCGTAAGCACGAAGTGCATGCATAACACTTTTTTTCTTTTCTATTTCAATATAATCTATGTTTTTTCTTTTATTTTTTGTTTGTTCGGGCAACAGAATTCTGACGACTAACGAGATAGGAAAAAGTAGATGGGGAAGGATCTACGATAAACGAAACCAAGAATTATGAGAAGATATTTAGAAATATTCGTGCGAATGTGTGTATTCTCGTCAGTATAGTAGTATAATTATCCTGCATTTGTAATATATATATATATATATTTATTTGTTTTGTTTTCTTTTTTGTGAAATATCAATTATCAACTCTCGACGACAACATGCTCATTTCTCTCTTCAGTTTGTTGGGAAAAAAAGTAAGAAAAAATATCATTCGTGAATAATACAAAGATGGATTTTATAATCTGTTTAATAATCTTTTTCATTTTTATTTTTTGTTTTTTACTATAATCTATTTCTCTAATTTATTGATCAACGTGCAAATTGACTTCGTGGAAAAATGCAAATGCATATTATGAGAATGCAATAGATAATTGATAAAAATAATAAATGAATTTGTCGAGAAAATAATGACGAATAACAGAGAGAGAGAGAGAGAGAGAGAGAGAGAGAGTGAGAGAGAGAGAGACGAGACGATAGCCTGAGATGATGAAAAACAAGACGAGGAATTTTTTGATTAGAAAAAAAATAAAGGTTTGTTGATGGGGGTTTTGTTTGCTGTCTGAGGTGACTTACCCCTGGACAGTATCATGCCTAGAGTACGGAATCGCACGGTTATTGTTGGTGTATCTCCGTATTCTTTACTTGGCCCGACTTGCATGCTGTCCTATCAATAGCGGCACAACACACAAGACATTTGTATACGTACATAATAATATAAAGTAAAGATAGGTAATAGTAAATAGAGGAATAGTAATAGCACTGATAAATAATTTGGCTGATGAGATCGTGTAGAAAAAGAGGAATCGTTAGCTACGCACACAAATTTCAAAATACACGCCTTTCTCGTTTTGCGTGCTATCACTATATACGCATTTTGTTTTTTTTTTTTTTGTATACATATACCTAACTCTCTATACAGATATATATATATATATATATATATATATATATGTATATGCGCGTGTATTGTAGGTATGTACACATATTTTACACATCCAATTTTTGACGAAATACGTGTAGTATGTGTACTATATATCGAGCATTATATTACTTTATCGATTGAAATTCGTAAAAGTCTAATCTCTCGGAAGAAATAAAAAAAAAAAAAAAAGAAAAAAAATTTAAATAGCCCAGCCGATAATTTCTGTTCTTTTTTATTTTTTTTTTTTTTCTTCTATTTTCCTATACACACTGTTACATTTTCCCAATTAGTTTCGTTCGTAGTCTAGAAAAAATGGAAAGATACGGAATTAGTAGAATATATCCCCGACATTAGAGACCACCGTACGTTCATCGAGGGTCCGGATAAACTTGGCAACGGACAATGAAACTCGTTAGGACTAGCCTCCCATCTAAAAACTTGGCAAAATACGAATTCTTTTCGTTGCTCTTCTCTTTCTTTTTTTTTCCCCTTCCTATTTATCCATCTATCTATCTATCTATCTATCTATCTAACTATCCATCTATCTATCTTTCTTTCTTTTTATCTTTCGTATCGATGAGCTTCGTCTATATATATAAGGTATATATAATATATATATATATAATATGTATGTATATATCGTTGCTCTCGCTTTTCTCACAATAGCCAACTAATTTTACTTTCTATCATATGGACGAAAATGACTGTATGTTCGAATAATAGACAAATGGAAAGTTCTTCCATCGAGGATACATAAGGGAGAACAAAATTTACCTTGCTGTAAAACGAACATGGTACATGGTATGGATAGTATAATACACGGAATCAAAAATATAATAGTTAATGAACTAATAATGAAATTTCTTATTTTATCTTTTCTTTCTATTTTTTGTTTTTTTTTGGTTTTTTTTGCTTCTAGTTATATTCTAACTCACCTGCGAAGCACCAGCGACCGGTTGCTCGAGCGAAAATCACCAAGAACACGATGAGAATGAGTACCAAAGCACCAACAACGATACCGATGATTGATCCAGCATCAAGATCGACACCTATGATCGTTGATAACAAAAAATGTATATATATATATATATATATTTTTTTTTTTTAATTTTTATATACGTATATATTTATAGTACAATTATTTATTTCGTTCGTTTATATATATAACTCTTATTTATTTATTTATATTTTTTTCTTCATTTGAATTTATTCGATTAAAGGTTGCAACAAGAAGCGGTGCACTTATACTACATGGATTGTGACATATTAAATTTATATCGATTAAATATCTAGGAAAATACAACAAAACTGATTTATCTTTTCGTTGTTGTATTTTCAACGACTTAATCGTTTGCATAATATTTTTAGTCCAAGCTTTTTTAAACGAAAAATCAAAGTAAATATTCGCGAATCATGCTTACGTATAATAAGATTAGATTAGATGTTTGCACTCAATTGAAAACTTTCCTACAATGAGCTATATATAATGTACTTCGTATATGTTACAGGTAATGTAAGTAATGAAAGGGGTACAATACTAAATGATTTTCTAGGATTTACAATATGCATATAGTATATATAAATATAGGGTGCCACATAGGTCCTCTACTTTAATGTTGTTACAAATTACACGATGCATACTGTTTAAGTTGGACTCAACGGAAAAACGTTGCTTTACAAGTTCCACGTAATCGGTGACTTTTTCCGCTGCAATTCCGAATATGCGTGGGCGTGACAGTTACAAAGGTTGTGCAAAGGAAATTAATTTCAAATTGTATTTTTCCATTTGTATTTTTTTCATGTTTTCATCTTTCATTCATCGCCCATATCTGAATGAAATTAATCAATTTGATTAATTAAGATATAATATATAGGCGATGCATCAAATGATGAAAATGTTCACGGGTTACCCGATGTTTTTTTCTTAATAAATTATTATTTATATATATATTTTTTTGTTTGTTTGTTTGTTCTGAAACATATAATTTGCCTGTAACATATACAATATAATAATCAGAAAAATATATTTCGATCGTATTCTTGCAAAAGACGATACGTTTTTTCTTTTGAAATTAACAACGAGTAACTTTCTACATAAACCATGAATACTAAAATACAAAGTTCCATACGGATCATACTTCGATTTTAAATCGTTTATTATATTTTAAATATTCTCTCTTTGGGGAATCATATTATAATATATTTATTTATTTTAACCAGAGTGAGATCTCCTATGGAAAATCTTTGTAAAAATTCTATCGACTATACATCGAAAACTATAAAGAAGTAAAAGAAAATACATCGAAATATTTCGTAGATGTATTTTCTCTTAATAATCAATTCTCATAGAACGAATATTATTAATTTCAATAATATATTTAAACAATATCAAAAAGACAATACTCTCAAATCTAATTAATTTCTAATAATATTTGTTCGTTTCATTCGTAAAAACATTAAAATAATGAATCCAAAATAAAATTTGATTCATTAGAAAATTGAAATTAAAATTGTTAATTTATCGTTTATTTTGGATTCATTCTTTTTTTCTTTATTAATATAGATCATTGTTTGTCATCAAACACAAGTAAATAATGGTAATGAATTGGATCGCGATCATCGCTTTGATATATTATAAAGTTAATAATAAAAAGAATAATACAACCAAAGCTAATAGCAACGTTAAATTAGTATAGTAATTCTTTCAACATAATATATATGTGTTACGAAGGTTATTATTTGCGGTTTAGTCAATGTTACGTGGAGTATTGAAAATATCAACAAAAAGATATAGAAAAGCTATGTGAGTAACTGTAGATGCAATTAGAAAAATTGTACGTTCATTACCATTAAATTGGTGTTAGAAGAAGGGATGACGAACACTTGAACACGTTATTTTTTTTTTTTTTTTATAATGACGAATGAGAGTGTTTTTATTTTTTTCAATACTATAGGCTTACGTATAATAATTTGAAAAAATGACATTACCTAGTGCGTGCATGTGTTCGGAGAGCTTACCATAGAAGTGACTGAACGCTCCTGCATGAGCATGCGGTGAAGGATCGATATGGTTAGAGAAAAACGTACACGCATACACACATGGAAAGATATTATGTGACATGTGTTATAGATAGTAGTAATAGTAGTAGACTTAGTTATAAAGAAATCGTGTATATATGTGTGTGTGTGTGTGTGTGCCGATCGTCATGGAAAGATAATGATGATCGATCGATCGTGATGTACATAAGTAGAAAGGTGTGATAATAATCGTGACGAAAGTCGGTGTTAAGCATGTGAGAAAAGAAAACACTTTTGAATGAATGAAAATGACGGTGACAAACGAACAAAGTGCAAGGAAGATGATATATCTACCAAATTTTAAAACCTTCTCCACAAATTTGAACAATATGTTTTTTACTTTATTCCTTTTTCTTCTTTTTTTATATTATCTCTTAATATAAGAAGAAGTTAATGTTTCTTTGTTTTGTTATACAAATTTTTTTATGTAAATTGAATATATTTATAATATGTAGATATGACGACGGTGAGATGAATGTTGTTGATAGAAGAAGAGAATAGGTTTAAGTTCAAAATGAATAATCGTTAAGTTACCTGCTGGTTCTGGAGACGTTGACAAAACAATATGATACTCGTAAGCTCCTTCTATGTTATGAGCTTCCAATATGTATTCCTTCTCCGTGTCAGATTTTTGAACACTATCGATGGTTAAAACAACAAGCCACGAGCCGTTACCCTATAAATGAACAAAAAAAAAAAAAGAAAAAGATAACAATTATTGGATTCTTTTTTTAATACGAAGAAAATAATGATCGAAGAGGAGATAAATCAAGAACATCGTTCGAACGAACAAACGATCGATCCGAAAAATAATATAAAGATAAGCGCGGAACAATATTTCAAATAAAAATAAGAATATTTCAACGCGCGTTACTTTTTAATAACTCTTTGCAAATTTTCTTCTAGTTCGTAATTGCGTTTTCAATAAAGGCTGATTCCGCGTATTCACGGAAAGGTAGATCGGGGTGGGGGTGACGGAGAGGGGGGAGGGGAGAGGGAGAGAGTCGACGAGTCGCTTGCCAGCGAAGCTTCGTCAGATCGAAAGCCATTTATACACAAAAGCTCAGTTCGGGCAATTTCAACCAGAGCTTTATTGGTTCTTGCACGCGGAGTGTTGTTCCAGAGCGTTGCATCCCACGTCAAGGGGAGGGGGGAATCCGAGCATCGCGCTTTGGAACTTTCCGCGGAATCCGTCGAGTACCATTCACCATTCCCTCTGCTAGTATAGTAGAAGTATCAAATATTCGTTGAATGAGAACAACAGAGAGAGAGAGAGAGAGAGAGAGGGAGAGAGAGAGAAAAAGATAGATAAATAAAGAAATATAAAACAACGAAAATTAGTCCTATTATTCATAATTAAAATAAATTTGTGATTTTATTCTTTAATAATTTAAATTGGAAAGTATTTCTAAACGATTAACAAAAAAAAAAAGAAAAAATGGACAAGCTATACACGCAACCACTTTAACTGAGCGTATAACCCTGATACACAATATTTAATTCAATTCTTATTCAAAAGTTTAAAGAGAAATATTCAATAATAGAAAATAATTATATGACACGTTTAAGCTAATAGATTTATCGGTATATCTAACAATAAGAAAAGTTCGCGCCGACTGAGACAGCTCCCTCATAAAAAATATATAAGGAGAGAGAGAGAAAAAGTGAGGTAGTATATACTCTAGTGGTAGCACGCGTCGTTGCTTCCAGTTCTGAGTGTCTAAGCATCTGAGTTCGATGGAATTTCATTACGTCGTTGCAGAATGCTCGCTTGGTGGTTAACTTTCGAGTCACACAGATGCATGTAGAACGCGCGCCGAATGAACAGTAAATCGAGGCTGACTGGCGCGCAAAGCAATATTGGATTTCTGTTCTACCTTCCTCGCCTCCTCTCCTCTCCACTTCTCTCATCTCTTCCCTTCACCAGAGTCAAGTCTCTTCGTTCTCTCATACCACCCCATTCGCCACCAAGAAACTTTTCCTCCTAGGAGGTATTTCCTTATCTTTATCAACAATCCGGATCGTTTAGTTCTTCGATCGATATTTTTGTTTTAATAAAATTCAAATCGCAAAGAAATTAGCTGCTTGCTGGTTTGTTTTTTTTTTTTGTATTTTTTTTTTGTATTAATGGTGCAAAAGGAAGGGTAGCAGTTTTTTTTACCAGGTCTACGGCAGTGGAAGTTTCAAGACGATTGCTTTCATCTGGACGACCTTCTTCGATTTTCTCGCCGTTTACTCGCCATAAGAAACGAGGTTTTGGATTAGCATGAACTGTTACGTTCACTGTACCCTGTCGGCCGATGACGTATCCAAAACGTTCGATGATTAGTTGCGGTTGAGGTGGATCTGAATGGATAACGGTAGATAATGTTTAGTTAATATATAAGATTATAATATTATACGTGATTGAAGAAGAAAAAAAGAAAAGAAAAGAAAAGAAAAGAACAGAAATAAATAATTAATAAATAAGTATCGTAAGTAAATTGAACATTAAAAAGAACTGGAACTTAATTTTGATTAATTGGACAAAGTTTAATTTGAGTGTTCAAATATAACGGATTAAGAGATAACGAAGTTTAGATATTTAGTTTTTCGAATATTACAAGAATGTATGTCTACTCAAATGAAAAAAGACGCTGAACTTTAGAGATTGAGTTGCTGAAGAAATCCCAATAAAGGGACGAAACGTTCAATTAATCAAAACTAAGGTTCCAGTTCTTTTTAATGTTCAATTTCTCTACGATACTTATTTATTAATAATTTTCTTTTTGGAGAGACGAGATAAATAACTAATTGAAATAAATAATACTTACAATAAACATGAAGCTGCATTTTTCTCTCTTTGGGTTGGTCCAAAGCAACGTGACTGGTTACGCATCTTAAAGTCTTGCTGTTATCAGTCCAATCCAAACTACGGGAGGCATTTTGTATTGCAACGGATCCTTCGTTCGTTTTCAAATCGTCATACGTCGATGGTCTCTCGTCGTTGCCAAGAAGTTCATCATCTGTGGATTAATCGCATCGATATTATATCGAATTCGAGAAAAAAAATTTGAAGATTATTTTATATGAGTTTTGTTGAGGACTTTGAATAATAACGATCGAATTAACGAAGTTTAGATGTGTTGTGTTTGGAATATTAACAAAAAGAAAAATGTATGTCGAATTAAAGAGAAAAAAGACGCTGAACTTTAAAGATTAAGTTGCTGAAGAAGTCCCAATAAAGGGACGAAACGTCCAACTTAGTTAAATTAAGTTCTACTACTTTTTATGTCCAAGTTCCCTATGAACCCTTATCATTAAGAATTATAATTTTGGACGAGAGAAAATACTGAATAAATTATTTTATATATTTAATTAAAAATAATATTCTTTAGAGACAAACCGAGATAGAGTGAGATGTTCGCAGGCGGTCGTCCACCAGAGGCACTACAACTGATTTCTAATTTTTCTCCTTTTTGGTATTCGTTTCTGCCATAGTGTCCTTGACTCGTTTGAAGTTCTGGATTGTTCGGCGGTTCTATATATGAAAAATAAAATAAATGAAAAACATTTACGTTCGAATACATTTGAAATGAATTTCGATTGATGAATGAGAAATATTGGAAGATAAGATTGATAATGAATGATGCTTACTAGCAATGACGATGTCAACGCTGGCATAGCTCTCTGTACGACCATCTACTGGTGTTAAAGCACACTTGAAGATTCCGTTGTGTTTCTCCTTTACTTTAAAGATGTGGACTCCGCATTGACCTTTATGAGTACCTTCGCCGTAATACTTTATACCATCCTCTGCTGTTTGATTTAGCGAGAGAATAGTGCTGCTTTCACCTTGGATCTCAACACGACAGATTTGCAATGGCGAACCCATCGTACACATGATCCTCAGACTATCTTCCAAACGTACCACAACTTGACCCTTTGGTTCGATGTCGACCGTTGGTGGCTTTGTGGCAGCTGCGAATATAATATTACATTATTAATAATATCGTCAAATTGATACATTTCATTATTTTATTTCATTATTATTAATATTATTATTATTATTATAATTGTTAATTAAAGATTTGGAGATAAAAGTTTTCATTTTACGTTGCTTATGAAATCGATATATACATATACGTATATAGACAATATAATACATCGAAAACTAGCATCGATCTTTCGTGAATTAGCGTGTCAAGTCGAGACGATGTAGAATATGGAATATCGTGCTCGATGCTATTATGATAATGCACCATAAGGAATATGATAAATCGAACGTGCTCCAGCCAACGATTATCATATTTCACCTGGCACGTACTCGTTGACGTACGGATAACCACTCGTTGTTGACTTATTAGTTTCGAAAATATCCTTGTTTTCCATCGAGAATGATATAATTTATAATCTTTTTTTTTTTTTTCTTTATAATTTGTATTTTATTTAAGTTAAATTTTTAATATTTAAATTCTATACATAATAATGTTTTAAATAAATAGACATTTCAGTCGATTATTAGCTATTTTAAAGATAAAGGAAAAAGATGAACAGAATCGATACTCGATTTACTTCTTTTTTATCTGTTGTATTTATTTGTAACTAATTAAATATTCTCTTTAATTCAAGAAGGTCGATTGTGATCTCTTTTTCTCTTTCAATGATTAAGAAAAAGAGAGAGAAAAAGAGAGAGAGAGAGAGAGAGAGAGACGAAAGAGCTTTCTTTGAAGAACACCAGTAAATTACGTAAGAAAGAGAAAGAGAAAGAAAGACAATCGTCTTTTAACGAAATTCTTCGAGCTACTTCGGGTTAGAAAAATGTTTGTCTTTAGTTGCTTATTTAATTACAAGGAACATTGATCGATCGACAATTAACGATACCTGTTTCTTTGAGAAAATAAAATAAAAAATAAATAAATACTTTTATTCTCTTGTTCTCTCATAGAATTAGTCATAAATTTTGTACGAGAAACTAATAAAAGTAAATATTCTAATTGAAATTTTAGATCTATATAAAAAAGTACATGCGCAATTAAAATATATATATATATCAGTTTCGTATTCGGCATAAGTATGTATGTACATATGTGAGTACAATATCCTTAATACGTATGTAGTTGTAGTTTAACTCGTTTGTTTGAATCGCCAAAGCATGAGAGAGTCCAATAGTATTAGGTATGCACGATGTTAAACATGGTAACTATTTAACTCGAATTTTATTCGATACAAAAGTAAACTCGTGATTGCAGGATTGTTTGACGGGTCAAAGAGAAACTAGAGTGGTATCATCAAAAACTGTTGAGCAAAGTATTTCTCGTTCGATGAATACGTTCATGTTTTTTGGTGTCATGTTTATTGTAAAATATAATACCTATATATATATACCTAATATATAAACGTACATAAAAAGAAAATATTAAATACCCTTTAATTTGATACCTTCAAATTAAATTAATATTTTAATACGATCATTATCGTTTACTCTATAATATCAGGATAGTTTCAAATATGATGAGATTAGAACATGACAGATGTTGGACCAGCTGTTATCACATTGACACATATGGACGAACATAGATCACTATCTTCTATTATTCTTTATTTATTTTTTACATTTTCATGACATACGTTTGAAGCGAGAAAAATATCATTTATAAATATGTTACACACGTTATTTTTCGACATTCATTTTTAAATGAAAAAGTCATAATAGGAAGTGATAGATGTGAATTCAATTTAAATTTGAATTTTACGGATATATGAAATTTCGTTACAACGTTGTTAAATTTAATAATAGCATATAAAAATGATTGTTAATAGAATGATATTCAATAGAAACGTCATGATGTACTCTTACTTTCTCTTTCTATCCTTTTCTCTCTCTCTCTCTCTCCTAGAGGTGCTGTTCGAAACTATCGCAAAGCCATAAATCCTATTTGATTTTCCAGCCATCAATTTGTTATACGGATGACGTCACGATCTAATTTGCCCGTATATACAGGGGGTAGAATACCAAAGCAAATCCTGCTCCCTCTCACTATCCCTCCTCCCTCAAAATCCCCCTCCCCCTCACCCTCTGTCTTCCTTTCTCACCTCTCCTCTCCTCTCCTCTCCTCTCCTTTCCACCGTTACCATCGGCGTTGCGCATCACGAAAACCACAGCAACAGATGCGATGATTTGTGGACAGTAGCGTGCATCAGTGAGCTTCCAAAATTAATGCCGCCCTACCCAAGGAAAATCCTAATTTGCATTCAAATACGAATAGTTTATGTTTCTTGGAACTTGAAATTTCACGAAATAAATGATTATGTCAAAAAAAAAAGTATTTTCACTAATTCATTTTGTAATTTTTTTCTCTCAATTTGTATATTAAAAAAAAAAAAAACACGAATTTAAAATAAAAGACCAACATATCTGACATACACGTATATACGTAACCCTGACGCGTCAAGAATGTATCTCTTTGGAAGAGTGACACATCGATGTCTTCTTTGGCAATCTCTGCACACAAGGTAAAAAGAAATATCGAATTCGCGAGGAACTTGCATAGTTCGTGACACACTTCTATACTTGATACGCGACTCTCTCTCTTCGGGGATTCACATTTTTCGCGAAATAAGAGTCTCTACGAAAAATGTAGAAACAAGTCGAAAAAGCCACGACAGGAAAGAGGAATAATAATATATATATATACATATACATATAGGGAGAGTAAAAAGAAGGATACGTTGATAAAAAACATCTAGAAAAGCGTCATCGTTCTGTTCAATCACTTTCAATCGATAAAAGTCATACGTTATAGAAAATAATCTTTGTTTTGTTTTATTAAGAGTGAAATTTGTTTAACAAGAAACTGTATTTATTTATTTTTTTTATTATAATAGTAGACATTTGTAGGAAAATGTTTATTATATGTAATCAAAAAGAGCAATTTTCCCATGTGATATCTAATTTTCTCTCAGTAACGACACCTTCTCACTGTGCTCTGCAGCATTCGAGTTGTACTCTCTTTCTCTCTCTCTCTCTCTCTTTCTCCCTTTATAACCTTCTTCCATCTATTTCCCTCTCATACGGTGGTGTATAATAGGAAAGAGGAAGCGAGTGCAAACCACTGTGGTCAGCTTTGCATGTGCAAGCTGCACGATGCAACGGGAGATACTAATCCCAGTCGGATTCTCTCTTCCTCCCTTTCTCTTACCCTTTTCTACTATTGGATAATATTCTCTAACGTTACTAATTTCACGAGAGAGTCCTATACTCCGGCCCTTTCAAATCTGTTTTTTCCTTTCTTTTTTTTTTTTTGTTTTTGTTTTTTTTTTCATCTGTGAAACACCGAAATGGTCAAGCTACGACGATGGAAATAGAGTTTCTACTTTTCCAAAATTAACATTCTCATCCTGGGAGATTTATTTGAAATTAAGAAATTATTAAAAATATAATGAAGATGAAATTTCATGGATTATAATAATAATCTATATTGTTCACGGTATTTTATAACGCGGACGAAATAAATTATAAAATGATTTATGAGAAATAATGAAATAGTAAGTTTGATAAGATATTCGATAAGATGAAAAAACAATTCGAGTGTGTACTTTAATCAGGATTGATTAATTTTTTAAAATATAAAATATTAATAACGTACCTCGAAAATGAAATATAATAATAAAGTTCGATGAAAAGTCGAACGCTAACATTAATAATTACAAAACGTTGTAATAATAAAAGAAGAGACAGGACTGATTTTTCATTTTAATTACCTCACTCGTTATCGCACCACTCGCCCGTGAAATTTGAAACGGAGCAAAAATATCGCCGATGGCAAGTTTATACTATACATATATTTCATCTATGTTATATATTTCTCTCTAGTGTCTTCCCAATGGAATCGGACCGGTGCCAACCAATTTTATTTTTATTACTTTTTTTTTTTTTTTTTGATTGTTTTATGTTTTTTTATTATTTCATTATTTCTCGCTTCTTTTCTCTGAAATGAATGATCTTTTTATTGTTCAAATGAAATTCAAAGCTATCAAATTTTCCACATTAGGGAGTTTTCTTTTTTTTTCTCTCTCTCTCTCTCTTTCTCTCTCTTTAACTGTAATATCCATTATATTGTCTATTAATGGTTGCACATATGGGACGAGGAAATCTTTCTCGTGTGTTTATTCATTCTCATCAAATTTGTTCAAAAAATAATAGATAAAGAATAACAATTTTTTGTAAAATAATTTCCAAAAATATTATCTTCCAAATCTTTTTCAAATATAATATAATATTGGATCGGTAAAGTGTTAGTTTTTGAGACAAATAATGGTCAGGGTGATTCCGTCGAGCGGACAGAGAAAATCATAGTTACTTTTCTTCCCCTCCTCTCCTCCCCTCCCCTCCCCCTCCCCTCCCCCTATAGTTCACCAAAGCTCTATCCTTTTGCCTGGAACGTCGCATTTCGTAGTTGGTCTAACAATTTCGCTGAGACAGCCCACAAATCTTGTAGAAGGTATAGAGTCAGGTTTACACGAGACGCTAAATCAACTCTCCTTCGTCGTAGTTGCAACATCCGCGTGATTTTCCACTTTCAATCCCTCTCTCTCTCTCTATCTCTATCTCTATCTCTATTTCTCTCTCTTAAACTTCATCTTTACTCTAAACATACCGAAGGATAGGAAAGGCCTCGATTTCTGGGTGATTTCAACAAACGACGCCAAGTACCAGACCAAATCAGTTTTGCTCGTGTCGATGATGACACTAAAATTGAGTTACACGAAATAGATTATAAATTTAAACTCGAAAATAGATGATCGCGAATTAACCTGAATTTAGACGATTTAAATCAAAGTGAATATGCATTAAATACATATTATATAATTTGTAATATTAAATGAAAATTACTTTATAGTAATTTTATAGTAACTTGAAAGTTACGCACTAATTATTTTATATTAAATCATAGAAAATTAATCAATATATAGAAATG